GCAAATAATCGTGTAAGCTTCAGCCCAGAGATAACCTGGAGAAGGGAGAAAAACAACCTTAACTACTCAACTGCAAAAAAAAATTTAACAGAAAAGTCAAAGCAGAGAGCTATATTAAATAGATTCTGCCCTATTTGGCAAAACAGGAACAGAAGTTCCACTCTTAACAGGACACGTGTATTCATGTTTGCTAAAAAAAAAAGTTCTGAAAAAAATCTGGTTTTCATTCCTGTGGACATGTTTCCCTTTACTCTTGGAAAGTACCAAGCTGACACTGTGATAATTTATAACATATTGGGGCTTCTTTTGTTTGCTTGCTGACAGCATTCATAATAACAGCATTCTTTTTAATCTCATAGCTCTATCAGAGCAACACTTTGTATTTCTTCACACATTGAACAGAATTAATACCAGGTTACTCTTCCTACATATGTTTTAGCATAGATAGAAGATAGGGTTTATTTATGTTGAAAGAATAACTAAACACAAACATTTAGTAATCAGCCTCCAGCTCAGCCTAATTCTAAAGGCAATGACAGGAACCTAAAGGGGCCACTCCACAGTAAGAATAAGCAGTAAGAGGTAGTGCTGCTTTGGGAGCACTCTTTGCATGAAATGAAAAAACGGAACTTCAGGGAAGCCTATTTAAAAGGGTGCTGAAAAGGATACACCTGGCAAATCGATACAAGTTGACACAAGTTACCCTTACATTATAGTGCAACATAACATTGTTTTTGCATATTCCCTGTACACCTTTTTACAGTGGATAAAGAGAAGAAAGCTAAGCTGAATACTAACTCCTATATTAATGTTTTAATAATTAAAAAAATAAATCTGCATTTGAAAAAGGTACCTTGAAGATTAGACAATTCAGACAACGTGTCAATCTCTCACCATACCAAGTGTGCCCACCACAAGGCTGTACACAGGCTCTACCTGGAGGTTAGGGAAGCAGACAGGCCTACCCCTTTGCAGCAAACACCTTTGATTATATGTTGCATGAAACTGGCAAGCTCCAGATACAAGACCAGTTCATCATTCAAGCTCTGTATTTAAATTGTGAAATTAAGTGATCCTTGCCGGTCAGAATTTAGGGGCTATGAAAAAAAACAAAGTCCCTCATAAGGCACATTATATGCTTAACCTGTATGCATACAAACATACTGCACGCATCAGTACACACAAACACCTTAAAACCTTATAATAAAGGAGTCTCCGGCCGCTGAGCCACGGAGGAGGCCGCGGGCCCGGCT